AATTACTAGTATTTTTGGTATGATTTTGATCATGATTAAACTGATAACTAGAAAATAATCCTGTTCTAATAAAATCATATTGTTGCTATTATTCTTGAAAACATTTAGGTGTCAAATGTATAATTTTTTTTTGTTTTTTTTTTGTTTTTTTGTTTTTTTGTTTATTGCTTTGGTCACAAATATATTTGTATAAATGTACACGCAGCCTACTCGGAAAATTGATTCATTCTTACATAGCGTGTTTATAAAATCATATTCATAGCAATGTTTATTGTTATCAGCCTTACATGTATGTAGGCCCACTGTGAAAAAATGTATAATTTTTCAAAGTAAATAAAGAAAATTTAAAAATCACTTATTGGTGTTGTTGTGGATTCCCCCATAGCCAGCTTTCCCCTGGAAATTGTACGTTGCTCGAGGGGAAAAAACAGGAAATTTCCCCTCTTTCTGGAAGTAGATTTCCCGCCTCGTCAATACTTTTGTGAAAAAAAACATAAAAGACAAACTGTATTTTTAAATATTGTAAATGTTATATATGTATAACAAGTTTTAAAACTATTGCATTAAATTCTTGTCTACCGGCAAGTGTAATGTAGTTAAAAAATGAAAATAAATTTCATTAAAGTGGAACAAAATGCAAACTTGAAATTAACCTATCAAAAATTATCTCCCTATATCTCCAATCGTTTAGAAAAACATTGCGGAAAACAGTTAAAAATTGAAAAGTTAATTCCTTAAAAAAAATTGAAGCGAAACGAAATGCAAACTTGAACGTTAAATCATCAAGGTATACTCCTATACCAAAAACCAGCCTATAATGTCTTCAAGCATTTAGAAAAAAAGTGCGGAAAACCATTTGGGACAAACAACGGATGGACAGACGCAGAGGAAATTTAGAATCCTCTCCGGTGTCATCAATTTATTTGATTTAAAAAAATGGTTTGACGGTAGCCATGAAAAATCGTACTTAAATTTTTTTGTACATTGTATGTTCAAAATATGACCATTTTTTTTGCAATGCAAATTCTCAAAAATAAGTAGAGCAATTATATTTCCTTGGGAGGAAAATTGGCGATAAATAATGTAAATTTTTATGAAATGTGAATTTTTTTCTTCCGATACACTTCGATAAATAATGTAAATTTTTATGAAATGTGAATTTTTTTCTTCCATTACAAAGATTTTTAGGGGGAAAGCCGATAAAGATCTATATATTAGAAAGAATATAACTGATTTTAAAATAAAAAAAAGAACATGGTTTTGGGGTCATTTATGAACTTTTTTCTATTGCAAAAATGCAAATCTTATAATTACCTTCGGGTCAAGAATATTCCGATAATGATGTAAATTTTATATTAAATGTGAATTTTTTCTCCATTACAAAAATGTAGACCGATAAAGATCTAATAATTATTCACTCGGAATCCAAGAGAGACCTTTACAACTTGAACTTGTTCAAATGATTTTGGTTCAAGGTCATGGTTGTCCTCTTGGTTATAAGATATAGCTTACTTCCGTTTAAACAGGGGAGCAATGAATAAGGTTACACTGTACCTTTAGGATTTTGTCGCCGTCTAGAACTACAAAGCTCTCCATTAGATCCGCTACTGGAGAATCCTGATCTTCATTCTATTGATTAATTACCATTACATTAACTTAAACAGTTTTTTAAAAAGGATTTTGATGTATAACAGGTCATATCCGGTAAAGATGACGGCATTTGCCGATGTTTTTATCATCGCCATTTGTCGTTATATTCTGACATTCTGTTTAATTTAAAAAAGGAAGTTTTTTTTTTAATTTAATACTGTCTTTGAAAGAAGTAATTGCCTTATATTTTTCATTTTTTTTTTCATTTTTATATAATAATATTTAAAAAAAATAATAATAATAGAAAATAAGTTACCCAAGTGTCAAGTTGTTCCTTGTTTTCATTTTTCTTGATCCGTTTCTGTCTTTCTTTGGTAGAATCCCGGAAATCCTGGTGTGGATATTTGGCGACTTCACCGCTTTTCCTTTGTCGGTCTATCTGTTTCTCCGTGTTAATTTGTTTGGAAAGTGAGTTCTCGTATCGTTTTAACAATTCAATCAATCTACTTCTATCATTGTCTGCTTTTGTGTTGTGCACTATGTTGGAGAAATAACTTGATAGTTAGAAAAGAGGCTGATTTTACCTGACCAGCTACTAAATCTTAATTACTAGCCAGTTTTAATTTGATGAAGTTTTTAGATTTATAAATCTAGTAAAGTTTAATTAAGAATTAAGATGTGCCAGATCAGTATGTTTTATAAATAAAGTATCAATAACGTTTTATGCAGTGGACACGTGTTAATTTTAAATCTTTATAATATAATTTGGATGTTCATTATCATTTGTTAAATAATTTATTTAACAAAAATATAATTTTGATAAGGATACACTTTTGTATATATAAAATTTATTTTCAAAAAAATATCGGAATTTACGCAAATTATACTGCCAGTCTAAATTCTCATTTTGCGCACATTTTTACATACCTTTTTGTACCTGTAAAGTATAAACATAGAATGGCAATATCAGCAAAATAGCAACACCCAGGAAATTCATTTTTAACTTCTGGCGAAAAACACTATTTCTTTCTATATATAAGCTGAGAGGTCAAAGCACTAATATTCAAATATAGGTACCCAAAGGGAAAGCCAACATTATTCTGCGTTAAACATTTAAACAACATACCCGGTACTTATTTTGCCAATGTGCGACCTTTGACCTTAATTAGGAGCAAAATATGCATTTTAAAAAATCATATAGGGTGGGAATATCAAATTCTGGGCAAATTTTGGTACATTTTTCTTGTATTAAATTCAAATTTTACTATCATCTAAGAAGTATCGCTTTTTAAGTATTTGCCCTTGAAGTTATTATTACTAATTATAGGGGACAAGATAAAATAGTCTAGGGGGTCAGCATGTTTATAAATACGAAAAGGTCTTAGAGGGATATAGTGAAAAGATCGATATAGTTAACTTACACCACTGATAATAACCAATATATTAATCACGTCTGGCCTTTTTAGGACAGCTGTGACGACCTGCCAGAGGCTGCAAAAATGATAAGACCTGTCTAACTCTAAAATTATAAACTTGTCCGGAAGGTCTCGGATTTTAAAGAGAAATTTACATCTGACCAGACGACTAAGGTGATCCGAACGTACCTAATGACTTGTCTGTTATTTACATACGAGTACGTCAACATCGGTGTGAAATAGGTGAAAAGTATTTAATACATGTCTATTAAATTTTAATCAAATTTTTGTCAAGAAGAATTTTTAAAGTTGATTTTTAATTATCGTGCAAATTTGTGCCAGGAACACGAGTTTCCCTTGGTGTGGAAATAATATCTTGCGGCAAAAAGGATAACTATAACATTACTGTAACTGTATCCCACAATCTATTTTCTATACATGGACTGTTTTGGTGCTAAAATAAACTTTGTGATGTTCCTCATACTTATCCTATCAGCGCATCATGAAATATTTTGTTGTTTATAAATAATATTAGTAAAATTTATAGTTTTTTTAAGATTCTATGAAAATCTTAGGATAACTTTTCCCAATTTAACCCCACTATCATAACTATAAAAAAAATACTGCCACAATTTAAATGCAGGCAAGATTAGGTCTTTTTGAAGTTAAAATAAATCATAAGCCCTTTTTTCATATCAAAGACACGTGCACTGGTCTATAGATGCTTTGTACTCAGTTTTATGGGGAATTCAAGTATTTAAATAGTAAAACCAACAGGGCAATCTCAGCGTATGTGGGATGGGGGTCGAAAACTGTATATAATGATTTTATTTTGAATAGCTCAAGTCATTCATCTATTTTCATATATAACGGAAATGTTTATTTTATAACGCCAATTAAAGATTCACTCTGTTCTGATATGCCGTGCATTTTCAGAATTACGTAAATAAATATGTTAAGCCTCAATAACACAAACATATCTTCCTTTTTTAATTAACTTTTTAGAGCATATAATTTACCCATGAGCCAGATGTCTCCCTAGGTCACCAATAAACAATCATATACCGGTACACCTATGTAGTATATAGAATATCTAAAACGTACGTCACTTAAGATTTCATTGACGCATGCGCTTATATCTCGTCTTCGCATCAATCGCATGCTTCATGAAATTGTTTTTACATCTAAATAGATACCTATAGAGATGGCATGCGTTGTTATACCATTGTTTGTTATGAACTTGGAGAGGTTTGCCATTGATTAAAAATTCCAAACTTTCTCCGTACAATCAGTGACCATTGTGTTTCATTTGTTGACAAAAATCTACCCTTTGACCTCTCAGCTTTACCTTTAGTTTACAATTGAAAAAGCAATAAAACTGCACGAAATATTCTTCCAACTGTAATATTTAATGAAAGGGCGCTTTCCTCTTTTGTTGCAGTAAAGATCACTTTTTATTCGCGACAACTATATTTTCGCGTAATAAGGCGAGTCTGTGAGCTCACGAAAATTTCATTCTCGCTTATAATAATATTCCTGAAGATTATACAAAGAAATAACAACAATTCTTGAAAATTATGTCTCGCTAATAAAGATTCAATGACTATCTCATTCAATCAACTCACACGACTATTACAAGATATCCTTCACTTAATTTTTCAATTCTCAGTCATGTGACAGCAATGAGATTATTGGCAGCGAATGGTGCAAAAGAAAAATATATAAATTCTCAACATCTAGCATCAAACTAGTTGAAGACTTGATTTTGCGTCGGTGATTGTTCGTTTTGCAACAATGTCTGTTCCTTTTGCCTTTGAATCTGTTGATTTTAATTTACCATGTTTTGAAATTTATATATGTTTTCTCCAAATTAATTCTTAAGTTTGTAGCACCATTTTGATTACCTGTTTTTTTGCTGCCGTATATACAAGTGATTAAGGAATTAAAGAAGTTCATAATATTTATTCATAACAATCAATGTTCCTTCAAAACATTTTATCAACAATTATATCAATTAAATATTCAGCAATTGTTTTGATAAAAAAAGGCCCAAAGACTTGGGACTCTAGTTAATTAATTAGAATTGTAGAGTCAACCATCATATTAGAGCGTCCGATGTCACAAATTCGTCAAAATCAGTCTGACAATTGACAAAATGCACTTTTATCCCTGAGAATGCGTAATCTCTTCGTTTATAACACCAGGGCTAGCGTAATGACCTCACTTCCGGTGGCCAAACGGAAGTTTTATCTCCGGTTCCGGAGGGTCCTCACCGGGTTTTAAGGTTACCGTCAACGGACCTGGGATTCCCATATTAGAGGCGTCGATTACAATATGTGTCTGTCCGTTTGGCTTTTTGACTTCCGAGAGCCGGATATTTCCGTTCGCCTCTATAACAACTGGATTATTATTAGCATTTTGTGTGGGTTTTGCTGCAGAGCTGGAAACAGTAGCTGTAGATTGCTGTTGTGTTTGTCCCTTTCCTCCATTTGCAGTATTCAAATCGTTTCCTAAAATTGCTGTCAGCAACAATTTTTGCAGTAAATCATTAGTAATTGCTACTTGTTGCTGCGATTGTGGCTGAGGTTGCTGTTGTTGCGGTGTTAAGAGTTGCGATAGTAAGTTTTGTGGGGATCCTCGGTTGCTTTGGATCTGAGACAACTGTGCGAGCTGCTTCTGTTGCTCTAGTAGCCTCTGTTGTCTTCTGATTTCCCGCGCCCGATATATGGCGCGCAGCTCTGCCGAACTTATCACGGGGACCCGCCTGCTTGAGGAGCTTCCCCTGTTTGAAAACGAGGCTCTTGATGACTGACGAAGAGAACCAACTCTCCCTGACATACCACGCTAAAATGAAAAATTAGATTCATTATAAAGAAGACTCCCTTCAAAAAATTCTCGCGAAAATATCATACTTATGTAACTCTGAGACGTCGATTAAAAAGAAATACTAAAAATACAAAAATGTTTATTTCTTTCTTGGCCAACATTTTATTTATTGTGAAAACACTGAAAAATCACCTTAATTGAAGCAGTAAAAATATAAAAGTATTGGGAAAATATCGTTAGCTAAAAATTAGTATCACAATTCTGGAAACACACCCTCGCTCATATTAAGCGGGCACTTAGTTTTTCTGCTGAAATGGAGAAGATTTTCATGAAATATTGATTAATAGCTTGCCTAGTTTTAGATTTTTTTTGTACGTAGAGCATGTATGTCTAATAAAACGGGAGACATAAACTTCATATGCAAGTGATAATGGTATATTTTTTACCATATGTTAGGGATGTTGACGAAAGAAAAGCTGAATTAAGTCATTACGTTGTTATAAATTTTGTTGTTATATTGCCATATAGGTCCTTTTCTAAAACAAATTAAAATCTAAATGTGAAATACATATAGATGTGTCTTACTCTATGATAACTTCTTTTTTGAGTTCAGAGGAATATATCGCAGATTATCGAAGCAAAGATTATTATGTGGTTTGTAGATCTCATAAACCATTACAGCAGACATATTTAGCATTCTGAATCCTAGCACGCCGTAGGTGCCATGATGCATTATCATGTCAAAATAAAAAAAAATACACTCGTGCATCTGCACTTAAAATTTTCGTTACCACATAGAAATTCTCTCACTTCTGAAATACATGTGAATAGAATTTTTACTTTAATCAAAAATATCAAATTTTTACTTTATAATGAGAATGTCAAGTTTTAACTTGTAAAAAGAATATAAAGTATTTACTTTGTAATGAGAATGCCAGGTATTTACTTTGTAAAAAGAGTATCCAGTTTATAATTTGTAACAAGAATATCAAGTTTTTACTTTGTTTTAAGAAAATCAAGTTTTAATTTGTAAGGAGAATATCATGTTTTACTTTGTTATAAGAATATCAAGTTTTTAATTTTGTAATAAGAATATCAAAATTTTACTTTCTAATAAGAACAAAATTTTTTTTCTTTTTAAAAGAATGTCATGTTTTTACTCTGTAATAAGAATATCAAGTTTTTGACTTTGTAATAAGAGTATACGTTTTTAAAATATTAATCTCAAGTGTTTACTTTGTAATAAGAGTATCAAGTATTTATTTTGTAATAAGAATTTGAAGTACTAGTATTTAGCTTATAATAAGAGTATCAAGTTTTTACTTTATAATGTGAATATCATCTTTTTTCTTTGTAATAAGAATATTTAAAGCGTTGTATTCTTATTACAATGTGAATACTTACTATTCTCATTACAAAGAATATTAAGTTTTTACTTAGTAATAAGTATATCAAGTTTTTTTCTATGTAAAAAGAGTTTTTACTCTGTTATAAGAATATCAAGTTTTTTTTTACTTTGTAATACTTATAAGAGTAAACATTTTTAAAAATATTAATTTCAAGTGTTGTTATAAGAGTATGAAGCATTTATTTTGTAATAAGAGTTTAAAGTATTTATATAAAGTTTTTACTTTATAATGTGAATATCATCTTTTTTCTTTGTTATAAGAATATTAAGTTTTTTCTGTGTAATAAAAATATTAAGTTTTTAAGAATATTAAGTTTTTTCTTTGTAATAAGAATTAGATTAAGTTTTTACTTAGTAATAAGAATATCAAGTTTTTAATTGTAATGATAATATAAAAGTTTAACATTGTAAAAAGAAAATCAAGTTTTTACTTTGTAATAAAAATATCAAGTATTTACTTTGTAATGAGAAAAGTAAGTACATGTATTCACACTGTAATAAGAATACCACGTTTTTACTTCATAATGTGAATATCAAGTTTTTAAAATTTGTAATAAGGTTACCACATTTTTTTCTTCGTAATAAGAATATGAAGTTTTTACTTTGTCATAAGAATATAAAGCTTTGACTTTTTAGTTTTAATTTGTAATAACGTTATCTTTTTTACTTTGTTATAAGAATATGAAGTTTTTACTTTGTTATAAGAATCTGAAGTTTTACTTTGTTATAAGAATATGAAATTTTTACTTTGTTATAAGAATATGAAATTTTTACTTTGTTATAAGAATATCAAGATTTTACTTTGTTATAATAATATGAAATTTTTACTTTGTTATAAGAATATGAAGTTGTTACTTTGTTATAATAATATGAAATTTTTACTTTGTTATAAGAATATGAAGTTGTTACTTTGTTATAAGAATATGAAGATTTTACTTTGTTATAAGAATATGAAGTTTTTACTTTGTTATAAGAATATGAAATTTTTATTTTGTTATAAGAATATGAAGTTTTACTTTGTTATAGAATATGAAGTTTTTACTTTGTTATAAGAATATGAAGTTTTACTTTGTTATAAGAATATGAAATTTTTACTTTGTTATAAGAATATGAAGTTGTTACTTTGTTATAAGAATATGAAGTTTTTACTTTGTTATAAGAATATGAAGTTGTTACTTTGTTATAAGAATATAAAGTTTCTACTTATAAGAATATGAAGTTGTTACTTTGTTATAAGAATATGAAGATTTTACTTTGTTATAAGAATATGAAGTTTTACTTTGTTATAAGAATATGAAGTTTTTACTTTGTTATAAGAATATGAAGTTTTTACTTTGTTATAAGAATATGAAATTTTTACTTTGTTATAAGAATATGAAGTTGTTACTTTGTTATAAGAATATGAAGTTTTTACTTAAAAAAGAATATTAGAACATAAGAATATATTACTTAATGTTTTATTTAATTGTAAAGAGTTTTTACTTTGTATGAAAAAAATATAGGTTTTGGCTGCATATATAAAAACGTTTACATGAATTTGGTTTTTACTCTGTGATAGGTATTAAAAAGTCTGAGTTTTTACATTGTAATAGGTATAGAGATTGTAATAGGAATAGAATTTGTAGAGAAAGAAATTTGTAATAAGAATATGAATGGGTTTATATTTTAATAGAAACGTTTTTACATTGTACTATTCAATTTCTGTAATAAAAATATATTGTAATTGGGATACAGAATATTTATGAATTTGTACTAGAACCTAATTTGTACCTAGTTTTTTTTTACATTGTAAATGGAATGTAAAGGTTAATTTCTGTGATGAAAATGCAAAGTTTTTATATTAAAATTGGAACACAGAATGCTTTACTAATTTCTACTCGAAACATAACGTTTTAATGATAGGAAATATGTAATAGGAACAAATAGAAATAAAGGGTTTTACATGTACTCGGAATGTAGATTACTTTGTAAAATAAAAAATACATTAACAGGAAATACAGAATGGGTTTTGTAACATTAGAAATAACCTTCTGTGGATTACCGAGTTACTCTGTTATGATTAATTTGCTCAATTGGTGAATGATTAGTAACGTCAGTATATTATTTAAGGCTGTTATAGACTTTTCTATCCTAAGGAGGTGAGATCCTGCACGTCAACTTATTACACTATTGTCCTTATACATTACACATAAAAATTGAGTTCACTTTGATAAAGCTTTTTTAAAAAGTTTTGACACGAATTATTTAACGTTTGAAATAAAAAAAAAAAGGGAAAACAAGCATTAGAATAATTCTATGCTGCACCTTTCTTTGCAATAAGTATAACATGTGCAAGAATACTTCTCAAAATGTGCTAATGTGCATGAATTAATCAATTTGCATGTATGCACACTTGGGTGATTTATAGCTCTGTATAAAGCCCGAAAAATTACTCATTCAGCTCTTCATTCTGTATACTAAAGGACCTATGTATATGAATCACTTTCACTCTTTGTGCATTACAGTAAACGTGTGTGAATGCTAATGTCTTACTCATTTCATGGCAATATTGACAATTGACAATTCTCTATCACCAACAGACGACAGATTAATGCCTCATTTAATTTATCGTTCTATTACAGAACATTCTTAGTAGCGAGATATAGGTCTGCACTTTAATTGTGAATCAATACCGATCAGTATGTGTATGGGTCAGTAGGATAAGATCAATAAGATCACGTGCGTGGATGAGAGGAGGGCGTTCGAATGATAAAACGAGTAAGGAAGGGAGGGAAAATACGACATCAGGGTAGGGGTCGCTACCGAGTGTTGTGTTTTCCGTAACCAGTGAAAACTGATTACACTGAACAGGGACTAAGCAAGCGGCTTTATATAGGGGCTCTCAGATATAGCGAGTGATTTTCGAATATGGCGATCAAAGTCCTTTTACAAACTATGTTCAACTTTAAGAAGGGAAAAGCGATTTCGCGTTTCGGGATGTAAGCATAACAAATTTCAAAATAATTCATGATATGATAGTTGAAAATCTTTAATTTAAGAAGTAAGAAAACTATTTGATAAGCTGCTTAGAAATACAAGAATTCTTTGACCCAGTACAAATATTTCGAAATTCATTATTTGCAGTAATTTTACAATGCAACCAGACTAAACAAAGCCGTTAGAAAGCAACTTAACTCATTATCTTATATACAATGCTCTCAGAATTCAATGTTTGTTGAATGAGTTACTGAAAGCGAAAAATTCTCTTCTATACTTAATTGATTAAAAATATTGAACTTGTTTATTTTTCTTAGTTTATTTCGAAAATTTTTGACGGTATTTGACATTTGGAACTACGAATCATAAGTAAATATTTAAATGGAAGAAAACATCGCAACGCAGTTAAAGGTTTAAATTCCTAACGCCATGCTGTAATTTAAAAAAAATTCCGAGTGGCAGTAAATATAAAATTTACAATATGACAATTTGTAAATTATTAATTTACTGCCACCCGGTAAATTCAAAACTTACAACATGAACAATTTGCATTTACTCAGAATTTATTGCTTATTGCTGAGTTATAGGGAGAGAAAATATTTTTTGTCCCTGTTTTCTCAATATAAGCAAGGAAACTGCTACATGATTGACACTAGACCTAATATTGACCAGTGCTTTTCATGTGTGTATAGAACGTCGTGTTATACATTGTATGTCTCTATATTCCTGTGACATACAACTCAGGGATACAGTATCTACAGTATACATGAATCAAGCTCGCTATGCTTCTGAGTTATGTCGACATGACAGATGACTATCATTGCATGCTATAGATATTCATATCATTGGGGGGGGGGGGGGTATATGTGTATTCAATGTTTGAAAAGGATTTTGTACAGAAAAAGTTTGAAAGATAAAAATCTTATTATAAAAAAATTATTAATTTCCGATTGCTTAATTAAATGTTGTTCAACTTTCCATTCTAGAATTTTTCACCCATATTATATTTTTGGTCTGTGAAGAATTATATTAAGTTCCATGACTCCATGATTATATTTTAATTAATATAATCAATTAGACATGGAACTTAATATAATATATAATTCTTCACAGACCAAAATAATAATAATAAAAAAAATACCAGCAGTCCAAAGTCTTTTTCTCTGTTAACACTATTGCATAACCCTGAAGATAGAAGTTGTTAATATTTACTGCAGCTTGTCAGACAATTATGTCCGATTTGAATAACTAACCTCAAAAATGTCCATAACCCAGAAAAGTAAACATATTTAATCATGTTTGATGTCCCTACTGTCCGTTAATCCACAATTATCCACAATTATTCACGAGGAAATGAACGTGGAAATCATAATTCAAATAAACTTGCTGAAAAAGGGTAAATCTATTTATAAATAAAATATGTGCATCATAAAATTAATAAAAAATAGCAAATGATTATTTAAAATTTTATTCAGACCAACAATAAATTTGCAGATTTGTTTTCCTATCAGTGAGGTGATTTGTAATGCACTTTCTTTAAAACATTACTTTTTCTTTTATGATAAAAAATAATTAAAAATAGTAGGACAACAGTTTTAGACGATTTCACACTGCACTAGCAAGAAAAACATAGCTCTCTGTATTTAATCAATCTTCATTAAAACATGAGCTATTTATTTTGTTATAATTTGTATTGTAAGAAAAATTAATTTTAAAATTATTTATGAATGGATTATTATTTACTTACGTTTCCTGCCAGGTGGTTTGCAAATGCTCCATGAATAATGGTGAGCACAAAAGAAAGAGTCGCAATATCCATGTCTGTTCTTTCTAAGTTTTCTCTTCGCAGTAAAACTGGATGACCATCACTTGTATTGCTGAAATTATCATAGACCAATCAGAAACAAGCTTTGTCAGTAGCCCGGGACGAATAAGGTCACCGTCTTACATTTGCATGGTACATCCTTATTGGCTAATTACATAATATGTATAAATAATAAGCCTGACAGTGAAAACTTGACCCAGTAAACGATGCGTATTCACCGTCTTAGTGACGTTAACGAGAATTTTACGGACGTACGAACACGTCAAGCGTGACGATTAATTAAGATATCGCCCGGTGTCTGTAATACAAAACATGACAAGAAATCATCTTACATAACGGATTCTGCTAATACAGGGGTCATGCAAGGTTTTACATTTAGGGCGTTGCTGTTAATGCTACAAGTGAACGAGTTCGGCACTCACTTCTCAAGAGTTTGCAACATATATTGGATTATTGAGTGCAATTGTTTTTGTGAATTTGCTTTCATATCTCAGATTTTCTATGGAGTTTATTCTAGCGTAAATTTACTAGCATTGTTCATTGAATTTGTAGATTATTTTCTAGATTTAAATTCTAAAACCTTATGTTAAAAAATATGCAGAAATTTTTTTGTAATTATTTTAATTTCATCAAAAGTCTTAAATTTAGTGATATTTACGAGAAGATATATTATTAAACTTTTATCACAATATATTAAAAAATTTTAAAAAATATAACGAATGAATTTATGATGGGGTCAATAAAAATAACCAGCGTTTTCCTTGATTTAACATACATGTATTCCAATAGTAAAATACGGTCTAAGAGATGCAATATAGGAGACTTTTAAGTCAAGATTACGCTTATATACCAGGCGACTTCCAACCCTATCAATGAGAAACTGACGCAGGCGTGGAAAGCTGCAGGGGCTCGTAACATAAAGCTTGCTAAGTTTTTGACTTAAGTAGGGTCGTAAGTACGGTTTAGGCACAATCTTAGGACCTGCCTAAGTACTACTTAAGTATGTCTTAAACCGTAACATAAAGCGAACTAAGCTATATCCTAGCTAAGTCAGACTTATGTTAAAAATATTTCCTATGAGTCAACCTATAGTTTTTGATTTTATATAGATATATTGCTAAAAGTGATTCAGTAAGGGTTTTAATAAATTACATATTAAAGTTGACGTCCTTACCTATCGGTTTAAGTTATGTTAGATTAGATTTTGTATTAAAATTATAAGTATGTTATAAACTATTCGGAATGTTTGAAAACAAATACCGCACGGTCAGAAAGTGACGATTTGTGGTTTATTGTAAATGTTCACGACAAATGTTTTATCACCTGACATGTTTTCAGTTTACCTTTTGTAACTCTTTTGTTTTGATAAATGTTCACTTACCCTGTTATTATCGCAGACAAGAAAAGATACTGTAAACGTGGAAATTTTGACGATGTGTTAATTTTGACTATATTGACGATTTTACTTTTCTCGTCAAAATTTACACTCGTCAAATTTAATATCATATATATAGCGTCATACAGACATTGACCATTGTACAACATTAACGCTTAGTTTTCTCGGCTTTCCTCTATTAAAACTAGATCAAAGTTACTTTTAATATTTTTTGTAATTAGTTATGAAAACATAGTGATAAATAATCACATATTTTAAAAACAAATCATTGTATCCAATACTGCATGCCTAACTTAGCGTGATGACCACGCCGTGTTTTCAAGACCTAGTTTGTCACCTCAGGCAATTGACCGCTTGTAATGAAAACGAATTACAATTACGAAGGCAGTTTATTGAATCAAATCTTACACACTTAGATAGTTTGTGCAATCTTACACACTGTAGATGGTCTGTACAAAAATTAAATTTTAGTGATTCCGACGCTGCCTTTGTATCCCCTTGTGAATTCAAAGATACATAACTCTTGATTAAATATTTCGTCAAAATTAACACTCGTCAATTTTCGTAAACAAAAAATCGTCAATTTTTCAACTCGTCAATATAACCACGTTTACAGTAATCGACCGCCTATTCACTTGAAATTTAAACTCTAAAAAGTTCAATACATATTGAATCCCCGCTATGTATAAGGCCATGCATGTCAGAAGCAAAAAATGCAGAAGTTTTATGATATACTCATTTACAATTTAATCAAGGATACAAAAAAAAATCGGAATACAATGTATTCTTTCGTATGTCTCCACTTATCAGCAATTTTCTCTCTCTCTCTAGAAATGTAGTAAGCCCTGTCTAAATCCGTGCTTGTCGCGTTCTACATTTATTATTGGAATCAGTGATCAGCCCCCCCCCCCCCCTTCCCAATGAAAAAATAAAATTCTTAAATCAGCGTCAAATAGAGATAATTATTTTCTTTAATGCATAATATGAATAGAGGAATCTTTTAACATCGAAAGTCAACATTAAATAATTCTAAATATATGTACAAGAAAGTTAAGATATACTTAAGTCACCTCTACCGGCCGCCTAAGTTTTGCTAAGATTGCTAAATGAGAAACTAAGTACGCTTCTAGTTACGGTCTTAAGTTTTAGACTGTACTTAAGTCCTACTTAAGCACGGTCTTAAACTTAAGTAGCCTTTATGTTACGACCCCCTGATCTGTAGCAATTGGAACTAGCTGCAGATCTGTGGCAAATGGAACTAGCTGCAGATCTGTAGCTCTCTGGTCTGAAAAAAATTGTAATGGACGACCAGAGAGCGACATGCAGTGCAAACCATTAAAAACACATATATTTATTGCCTACAAAAAGTGTGCTGTTTTTTTTTTCGATTGATTTCTCCGAATATTTATGCTGCCATCTCAAGATTGTATTAACCGTGTGTTCCTAGCAAATTCTTTTACTACTTCCACAACAAAACATTTCCAAACCATTGTTTATAGCCCTAGTGGGCTTGAATTTTAGACCTTCGAAATTTCGCCTATTTATACTTCTGTATTAGGTGGAAAGATAATTCGGCCTAATGCGCTTCGTGCATGGCTTGAACATGCAGTTTTGTTGTGAAAGTAGTAAAAGAATAAGCTAGAAACACATGTACGGTAATATTTTAAAATATAAAGTAGAGAAAAATAAGCCGAGAAACAGCGCACTATTTTGAGCGCAATAAATATACAATTTTTTTTCAGACCAGAGAGCTACAGATCTACAGCTAAATTGGATCTTTAAAAGTTGTCTTTTAGTTGCTTTAGATAGAAATAAAAGCAAATTATTATGAGAATTTGCTCACTGTTTTTTTTATATCAAGCCGCTGTACCATTCTTGTATCAAATACGGAGACCACCTATTGAACAATAAAGTCTCGCAAATAAAAAAAATAAATAAATAAAAAAAATAAATACAAAAATGAAAAATAATAAAAATAAATCAATAAATACATATCGTATTCAAACAAGACAAGTTGAGATATTGTGACTCAAGGAATACATTTACGCTTTATACTAGTCATATATTGATAGAATAATTGGTAGCTTGTATTCAGAATTGAAATTTACAAATAAAAGTCACTTTATAATTTACAAAGATTAAAAAACTTTTTTCAATATCAGTTCTTCTAGGAATCAAGATTTTAGTACCCTTTGAAAAAATGACAGAACTTTATGATTGGAGGTGTTTCAATTTGAATCGCCAATAAATGAAATAGATGAAAAATATTATTAATGTTTCAATTTCAAATACAAATAAAAAAGAAAAAAAATATATTATTAATGTTTCAATTTTGTCAAGTTGGATTAAACCATAATTACTCGTGCATAACGTTCAAATACCGTTTAGATTAATTAAGAGGGTTGGGAACTCCGAATCAATAACAGGTACCTTAAACATTAATTATGCAATTTTAGTATATGAAGTGACCAAAGATACTTGTTTCGGAAAAAATTCTTATCACATAGTATAAGGATATTATACTTAATGTGTTAAATTTATTACCAAAACAAGTGCCTGTGGTAGTGACACTGTTCAGTTTTCATTTCATCAGCCTTGTACTTATTATAGTACTCTATAAGAAGTCTTTATCAGAAATTATTGTTTTGAACATTGGTTACAAGTTACAAGAAAGTAGGAAAATAAGAACTTATGGGAGAAAACTTATTGTGTTATTCCTTTTTAAGCGGTTAGCTTCGCTAACCGCTTTATGGCATGTGTCCGATTTTTATCGACACCGGAAACTTCCATAAGGCGCTACCTATCGACAACGGAGACTTCAACAACGCCTCAACCTAGTACCTATGATTTGTTTCTAACACATATAACATATGTTAAATAAAATCAAGACTATCAAAACAACATAATCTTTCGGTTTTTTAATGTTTTTCTGATTTTGTTTGTCTATGAAATAAATTTATAATTGTTGTATTAAAAAAAAGTTTATGTATAGGAGCATTTGGTACCGAGATTAAATTTCCGCTGATGGCGATCGGGCCCTGTGACGAAATTCGAAGTCAGCATGAAGTTTAGCTGATAACATTATCAACGCGTTAGATTAAACTTTAGGAAGAAATGTATAGCGAGAAATATCATATTTGAACCCAATGCTACACGAAAACCAGTAGGCATTTCCGATTTATGTGTTAAATTGAAGCCTGAATCGAACAGGTGGTCAAAATGGCGTTGGACACCTTGTGTATTTATATATAGAGGGGGTAGAATGTTTCGATATTTGGCTAATTTAGAGATTTACTGATAAAAATTCAGGTGCCTGTGATTAATTATAAGGCACCCCTCATGAACAATAAATATTTGACCGAATTATGCTACTGGGCACAGGGAGGACGGGTTAATTATTACTGGCTAAAGGGGTTGAAGGTTATTTGCAAAACATCTTTGATCGAGTTTCATTTTCCAAAATATTAAGGCATCCCTTTAATTAACTTAAGTAATACTAGTACATGAAGAAAGCCTTTATATAAAAATACTGAATACATTTGTAAGTTGTACAGTTATGGATTACTTCCATAATGAAATGTTTGTTTTCTTCTCCTTTTTTCTTAATTGAAATTATTTAAAAGATGATAAAAGCTTTGTTTCCAGGGATAAATTCT